CATATATATAACCATACTTGTCGATATCATAAACGCTTCTTGAGCAGCGCCCAATAAATAAAGTATACGCTACGTGCATTGCATTGTCAGCTTAGACAAGATGTGCAGATATAAGGGCTGCAATATCCACGATATATACATGATACGTCATTGTAATCCAACGCGAACATCTTCTGCATCGGCGTACATAGATCCTAATTCCCGAGTACATGTTTTGCTATAACACGCACTTGTGAATCGCTAACCTGCTGCTAATACAAAAGCGTGCGATAAACCTTATATTTCTTAATTGATGACTACCCGCTCGAATATCGACCAGGCTGCAGTTAAAGACACCACTAACTGCACGGTATTTGAACGGTATTTCTCACTGTTGCAAGTCCCTATCACCCGAATCAAACGCTCGTTGCAAACGGTACCTGGCGCGAGCTTATTCTTGATGCAAGTTGGACACTGAAACTTTGCGGGCTTGCCACAGTCCACTCCAGTGCAGAGATTACCAGGCGATACCATGTTGTCGTATTTTAGCTTTCAGATGCCAGTGTTTGGGCTATTAATGAAACTAATTTGTTCTCTACTATCCACTATTATTATTAAAAAATACAATAGAAGAATGTGCAAAAAAAAACCCCCGTTGAATATACATTTTTCAAATATTTTTGCCACCCAGAAATAATTGGGCACGTGCCGCAAATCCGAGATACGGGTTCTTTCACTTTGGCTCTCTGACCTCTGACTCTGTTGAAGTGTCATAGCACTCTAAATTGAACACGATTAGAAGGCTATGGATAATGGAAGTGTACTTTTATTTACTCACTGCTATTTTTTAGTCTTATTAGCCAGGAGTCCCAGACTCCCAGCCTCCAGGCTTCTCTCTAACTAGAGAGAGAGAGTACCATGTGTCATGTGTGGCTGGACCGGCCGGTGTCTCAAGACCCCTGGTGTTCGGACCGTCCACTGTCCTGTCTACAGGACTGGACTGTAATTTCAATAAAATCTATGAGTATGAACCTGATAAAAGTGATATTTTCTAGGGTTCTAGGGTTGTACTTTTATCAAGGGAAGAAATATTCTCTGTCAACGAAGTTCATACCTTTTTCGTTGTAGATGTTGTAGTCTATCGCGCTCTGCCCTATCTTGTAATCGCGCCTCGTCTTTTCTGCGCTTTTTCTCAGTTGCTACTTTTGAGTCTTAAATACATGCATCAGCTAAACTTCTACTTTATGTAACTATTCTCTTGTGCATACCATCTTCTGACGAAGTGCAACAGCTTGAGAGCGCCGTTCCTTCTCTTGGTCGTGACTTGCGGTGGTGCTATCACACTGATGATTACTAGATTGGCATGAGAGGCTGCCATCAGTCGCGATGAGAGTTTCGCCATCACGTCACTTCTGTTTCACACGCGCACGACATTCTTTCTCTCAATTTTTTTAGCGGAACATTGTTTCTGAGTTACTTTTTCGTGGACCTGGAGGCTGTCACTCTAGATACACTGTATGTACATAGCACTACCTACAATATAAATTATATGCAGGCTTTTTGGAAGTTAATATATATTAACTATTTGACCATTGTACGATTTATATGTGTGTGCTATCTTATAAACGGTTGAAATCAGCCAATCAAACACCATGCGGCGTTTTATAGTGTGAGCCTCATCGGTCCGCACGAGCAGAGCTTAGTTGTAGTAAACCTATGGTACACGCTGTTTATTATGAAGGAACTAAGCTAGTTGGTTTAGCCTTGCTAGAACCAGTATACAAAAGGATTCGCCCTTAAGGCCAGTCGTTTAGTCTTAGCCAGGAGTTTCAGGCTCCTGGCTTGATCCTATTCTAGAGTTGTAAACTTCGATGGAAATTACTAGGTTTCAAACTATATTAAACTAAAATACAATTTAGTCAGTTAGGATTTAGCAGTGGTAGCTTGTGTAAGAATGATCGGGACTGCCTCTTGTTAAGAGCCTAAATATCCTCGATCATACAGGGCGTACCTCTAGCTGTTATTGAATAATTTTCACTAGAAGTACTAAGTGTTCATGACCACATGCCTAATTTGTAGATAGACATAATAACGTAAGTCACGTTACGTTAATACATTAGCTGATATAAATAAAGTTCCATCTGAAGAAAAGTTAAAAAAAGAAAAAGACTTATTGGATTTTGGAGATTGGCGGGAGGACCAAAGTCTATAAGTAGTAGTTCGGAGATTATAAAATTTAGTAGAGCCTAAATATCCTCGATCATACAGGGCGTACCTCTAGCTGTTCTTTATTGAATAATTTTCACTAGAAGTACTAAGTGTTCATGACCACATGCCTAATTTGTAGATAGACATAATAACGTAAGTCACGTTACGTTAATACATTAGCTGATATAAATAAAGTTCCATCTGAAGAAAAGTTAAAAAAAGAAAAAGACTTATTGGATTTTGGAGATTGGCGGGAGGACCAAAGTCTATAAGTAGTAGTTCGGAGATTATAAAATTTGGTTTATAATATCCTACATCTACTAATGTCTCAAATAGGTCCAAGTATATGAGTCATACCAAATACTTAGGCTATTGGAGCCATCAAAGTGAATTTAGAACACTTTGGAAATATTGGAAAAAGAGCTTGTATTAAATTATTTAAAATACAAATAAAAACCAATGTATTATCTCAATTGATCTTGATATTTTAGACTGACCGGAGGCCGTATTTCTACAAAACACACAACAGCCAAGAGTACCACCTTGGAAACAAATAAGCATATACCATAACAACAGGGGTTTCAAAGAAGCTGAAAGACAGTTTCAAAAATTCACAGTAGATCTGTTTTCATCAGCACTGTTTGCATCAGCACACAACTACAAATACACATACATATAAATACTACAATAAAGAACAGAATGCACGCCTACAAAAATTGGTGCAGGAAGTGAATGCATGGGCTAACCCACCATTGAAACTTATACCTGATGTTCTGGACAAAGTTATTGAAGAGGCAGCCAGCATCACGATATGTGTACCTTACTACCTCAATGTATCGTGGTTTCCAAAAGGGTTGTCTTTTCTAGAAGAAGACCGGATCTTAGTAGAAAATACAAAATATGCTTCTCAAAGAAAGCACGACAGCATGTGGCAAGACCTCATGAGCCGTCACATTAGTGGCATTGGCTTGGATCATAACGCATTACTTGGGGATCCTTTGTTCTTTGATTATGATTTTTGCTTTGTATTTGGATTTTCTAGTACCAGATACTACACGTCCCAAACGCGTACTCTTAATAGTACGAGGAACTTAAGTTTCCTAAATGGTTTTTAATGGGTTTATTAATTAATACCTTTTCCAGTTTACATATCAGATATTTGGACGAAGCCATTAAATGGCCTCAGTAAAATACCAAGCATAATAATTGGTCTAGTTCTATTAGTAGAACCATTTTTACTTTCCAACTTTATTTATATCTGGATACTTCGGTAGCGAGATGGCTCAACCGAATATAAGTTACTAGGACTATTAACGTTACCTAGTTGATCCTCCAATCAGCCAACCAGATGTGCCAGTCTGATAAGGCAAAGTCGGTAATTCTTGATAAGTGGCAAGCTATTGGTTAAGACAATAACTAAGGACATCAAGAGTGTTTATATTTTATTTATTTAAATTTTTCTAAAGATAGGATTTTATGATTCTCTCGGATTCGCCCTAATGAAACATACCATAGTTTCTAATAGAGCGACAACGAAGCACTAAATAAAATCCCTTCGGCGGAAACAGTACTGAGAGGATTATATATAGGCAATGTCGCAGCCTCACAATTTCTCAAAGTATTGCTGTTTTCACGAGGCATACCTAACTTTACTAAAAGTCTCATTTCGTTTATTTACTTTGATATTTTCACGATACTTAGAATTTACCTACGCGTTTATTTACTCTAAGGCGTTAATATCGCCTTAATAGACCGAATCTTACATTACAAGATGCAAACAAAACCACAAACTGTAAACTTCGATGGAAA